GAGTTGAAGATAAGTACTGCTAACATATTGTTTGAGACAGACATGCATAAACCTTGCTATTTCTACTCTTAGTTATACTGTTTTTGTCATGCCCCCTCCCGGGTATCCCTGCCCCATTATATATTTATAACATAATGTAGTACTTTGATCCGGACTTTATATTTGTTATTTATCAATATATTAGGGCATTATATATAGTATTTTATGCAGCCACAGTAATTTGTATAACTACTTTCATTTGTAATTATTCTAAAAAAATATGTCTAAAAGGTGGTTAAGGAACCACCATCTGATATAATCAAAGATAAATACGAATCTAATGTGTAAATTTTGTGTTTGAATTGCATTTATTAGATAACTGTGGTCACTCTTTCATTAGATTATATTCCTTAAATGGATTAATTTCCTAACTACGAAACCTTGTCTTTATATTTTGAAAGTAACGTTATATTTTGATTTCAAGTTTTGTATCTTGTGTGATGCCTTGAAGGTGTTAGTGCATTTTTACAAATTTGTAGTTAAATATAATGAAAAATCGGAGAAAAAACTGAAGTATGAAATCTTAAAGGGAATGTCACGGTAATTTATCAACGTAGTTTACAAAGATATTGATAAGGCATGGTGCATTTGCGTACTTTGAAGCCAGAGAAATATTAAACGAAGATATCTATCGCCATTATATAGAATATTTGGAACTTGATCATTAATTTGATTACAGTGCATGTTTGTGTAAAGTGAATACAAATGCCAAGTGTACGTTTGATTTTGCTCTTGGTAATTATTATGCAACCTTCTCTTCGGTCTCAGGTTTTGTCATGTCATTAGCTTTCCTGGATCTGAATCCATGAATTGCAGTGAAGGAAATTGTTTGCATACTGCTTTTAAAAACTGAACTGAACTGTTTTTTATTAAGAAACATCAATGGATCGACTCGACAACAACATGACATTAAAGGACTCATGACTTAAACTGAAACATAAAATGGAGACACTAAAGATGATGAAAAACATAGAAAGACTGAAATTATAACTATCATGACATGATAGTTATTTAGAACTGCCCTGGCTTGAAACCACCATAGCCATAAGGAAAGGAACTGCTGGATGGACCTGCTTCATCCGGATTGTTTGCCCAAAAAGGGTTTGTTGCTTTGCCGGTATTCGGTGGAGGAGCCATCGAAGAAGATGAGGCCCCCGGAGTTCCACCAGTCTTCTGGCAGATTTCGTTGTACAAGCTCAGGTGCAACTCTTCCAAAGAAGCATGCATTTGATGGAGCTCCTCAACGTTAAGTTCATCAATAGGAGTTTCCCACCACCCCTGAGTTTCTTTCCCATTAGACAACTGCTTCAACTCTTTCCCTCGCTGCTTCTCGGCCTCAAGTTCGCTGAGGAGGTCATTGTGGAGCTGACTCAGGTCATCGATTCTCGCTTTGCGGTGAGCCTCCACCAGGGGGTGAGTTACGTCACCTTCCGGTGGCTGCAGACCCATGAAGCGGTTTGCCACAGCTTCAATCGATGGGTGGCCAAATGAGAATGGCTTACCCGATGGTGAAAACACCACAATTCCAACCTCAGCCCCAGTGAGAGTGACAAGTTCACTTGCCTTCTTGTAGATGCCAGATCTACGTTTTGAGAAAGTAATCAACCTGTCTTCGTCTTTCTCAATCCTCTTCATCTCAATCTTCTGTCTCCCTTTGGTCTTCTTGCCTGCCATTGCCAAAACTTTTTGTTAAATTTGTGTGCTTGGTATGGTCTAGATAGTCATGTATATATAGGAGGAACTACCCAATGAGAATTAAATTGCATTAGAAATAATGGAGTTGTCCTCTTAATTTCTATAATAATTTACATTTTTTTTAATATTGTGCAAATTAAGTATTAATTTTATTTCACAGTTTTTATTTTTCAAATATAGAATTTATTTTGTGTCTTCTTTAAGTCCATGCACCCTCTTATCCATCACCAATCATATCCCCTCAATAGTCAATACTATTGGTCATTCATCTAGGGCTAACTAATCAAACTTCCATGTTAATATACATTACTATTTTTATTTATCTATTTTAATATTATAGGTTTGTCGTGATCGATCAAACGTGTTTTATTAGTTATAGAAAGTTTATTTATCTATTTCACACAATATCTAAGCATGATCGCGATCGATCGGATATGTTAGACTACGTGTTAAGCGCGCAACTAGTTACACTGTATATTTTCTTCTCTGACAATTATCACATGTAAAGATTTAAAACATTTATTAAAAAATTTACCAAAGTAGATTTTAACTAGAAATATGCTTTTGTGTAAGAGAGATGTATTAAAAGCTTCTTAAAAATAAGGCTAGTTTGACAGAGCAAAATTAAAGAAATAATTAGACATAAGATTGAAATATTAGTGCCTAATATTAGTGTAAAAATTATTTTGTATTACTAAATATTGAATTGACCATATCAAAACCACTCATTCTTTATGATAATTACAGAATCAGAAGTAAATTAAGAAGAGATCACCATACATTGCATACTGATGTAATGCATATTGAATCTGTAATAGTTAATTAATTAATTACATTCTAATTCAGTAGTAGAAAATGGTTTTAACTTAAAATTATGGTAATGAATTTGGTCATTTGATAAGCATGTGGTCTCTAGGATTTACCAATATTTAGTTTAAACTCATGTAATTAGGAACCTTGCTTGAACTCATATAATTAACTCCTTTTCTCATAATTGAAACTTCATATAATTAGAATACCTGGTGCCAACATTTTCTTTCATACAGTTTTAATACATTAGCCAGGTTTCAATGCAAAAAAGAGATTTCCAGGAGACATTTAATTGTATTTTCATTGGCAGGGAGCATGTATAGAAAGTTTGATTTGGCAGATACCTTTAAAGGCCAGAGTAATTAAACACTTAATAATTTCTTATTTTGTCATTCATGGACTTGTTAATTACACACTCACTGGAAAAGTGTAATGTGGTTGTATTGTATTGGACTTCTTTCTTATATTTGTGCATAAATTGGCCGAAAAAACCACCATTATACCTATCCGCTTGTGGTCGGATGACAAACTCTTTAGTTATTAGAGTTAGCTATACCTAGATGGTCTTGTGTTTGAGTCGCAGAAAATATACTTACCACACTTGTGTAATTACTTTGATCCATTGTGCTTGTAGAATGAGTGTTACGTAACCACGAGGATTAGACAGACTCCAACAAGAGTCTCGATACCTAACATACTAAAAAAAAAAAAAAAAAAAAATCACCATTATTAGTCCATTTATTTGCATAACCTAATGCCACAATAGAGTGAGTTTGTTAGTGTGTTGGGTCATGGGTATGACTCAAAAAGCCCAATATATTGGATGCGGATTGGGCCTCTCTTCCTAAACATTTAGGACAAAGCCCAATTTCCAGCCCCCATTACCATTACCATGAAGAATGGAATTGGTTGGTCAGGTTCCATTAGAGCATTATGGAGGGGAAGAATGAGAAGCAGAAAGTCCCTCTCCACTAACACATAGTCAATTTATTTTACACCTACGGTTCCATAAATTCTCATGGAGCTACTCCATTAATATCTATGTCTTCACTTTGTCAACCTTCTCAGTGGGTGCTCCCCTAGTCTTTGTCTACCTTCAACAATCTCATAATTTTGTTGTTCATAATCATTTCACTTACTTAGCAATAGACAATGTATGACATCAAATTGTTTTAATTTCTTTTTTTCTTCTTACGAAAATCTAAGGTTCGAATATTTTCCGATAGAGAACGACACGAACGAATATGGTTAATTGGTTTAATAGAAAATGAGCCAATAGTACTCTAAAAGAATACTTGGGTTGAGACTAGGCAATGAGATAGGGAGGAGGGCAAAGGGTATTCTACTATTGGCAACAGGCAAATGGATGGAGGAGTCCATTGAATGAGGACTTGGAATGAAGGCGGCTGAAAGGGACAACCTGGGATCTGGACTTCGACTTGGAGTTGTTGTCTAGGCCTTTTGTTGTCATTATTTTATTTAATAACCAATCAAATTGGGAATAGTATTCTACTAGGTTTTTAAGTTCCACTTAAACAAGGGAAAACGACATTTTCCGAAACGACACTTTTCCACTCATCGTTACATTCTATTATGTTTTTTGTTAATATTATATTAAAAAAACAAAAATATCCTTAAATATTTAATTTTATAATTTTTTAATTAGCCAAAAAGTTAAAAAAGAAAAAATAATTGCCCCCACCTAAAAAGTTTGAATAATAGTATGAAATTGTTTAAGTTAAATAATTTAATATTTATTTATTTATAATATCATCAATATTTTATAACTATTATTCAATAATCTATTAAATTTATAATGTTTTTTATTTTAACTAATTACATAGAAATTAATATTCCTAATTATTAAATAAGTAAAGAAAAAATATATCTGTACATTTGAACTAATAATAATCAAGTAAAAACTTGATTTAATTAAATTTTAATTTATAATAAATTAATTAAGAAATAAACTATTTAAATTATTTTTATATTTTAATCAATATTAATAGAAAAAAATTAACAGAATCTGAGATGGTAGGAAATGTGCTTTGAACTTAGCAGGTGGAAAAGTGATGTTCGCCAAACATGTCGCGTTCTCCCCTTAAACAAGAGAAGAGGCGTCTTTTCTGTCAGAACATGGGGCTATTATATTTTATAATTAATTTGTTTTTAATCAACCAATTTAAATGTTTAATATATAATTAATAATATATAATATTTTATTAGCACGAGTATAAAAATCTGTACAAAATTAAGGAATAAGTTAAAGATGAGTAGTGTCAAAACACTGGGTCAAGACGGATCACGGAATCTCCTAAATTTCACAACCCACGCGCTCTCGCGCGTATTCTTTTCTTTTCTTCCTTTCTTTTTTTTTTTTTTTTTTTTTTTTCCAATTTTAACTTTAACAAATTCAAAGTATAAAGTCTTTATTTTTATTTTTCTCATAGAAAACCTCTCAGTCTTATCAATAATCCCCACATAGTAAAGAAAATCAGTCAGAGATCTTGCATGAAACTTGAAAGATACCTTGAAAAAGAATTTCGTTTCTTTTCGGGCCGTCCTGTTTGATAGTTTCAGACCCATAAGCCTTCTTAGCTCACTTTCATTCTTTCAGAAAGCATTAAACTTGTGTTATCGATATATATATATGGTTGTACATATATATATTATATAGATTATCAGTAGAGATAAAATGCTTGAAATAAGAGAAGGGTCTTGCCTTCCTAGAGTTTTGGTGGGTGTGAATGTGGGTCTTGTTTGTGTTGACAGCATTATTGCTATTCTTGCTTTTACTCAGGTTTGTTCTACTTGATTTTGTTTTTGATAATTGGGTTGGTTTATTTGTGATTTTTTTGATTTTTTGGTTTCTGGGTAAAGTACATAGCGTGAAAAATACATGCTTGAATGGTGGCTTTTGGATTGCTGGGGTTGAATTTGTAGTTTGCTATGCGGTTTGGATGAGGAGAGAGTGCTATTAAATGCGCAAATTTGAGTCATGGATATAGTTGTTGTCGGTTTTTATTTTGGTACTCTGGAGAGTATGCTTCTCATTCATTAATGTATAGTTAAGAAGGGATGATAAAATGTGGTTTTTGCTGTGTTCTTTTCTTATGTGGGTTTAAGTCAGTTGAGAATTTAGAAAGCAGTTTTGTACTTATGCAAGGAATATGGATTAAGGGTTTGAAATATTTATTTATTTTATTTTATTTTTTAAAGATTTGTGTTGTATTGGTTACTGATAGTGAGGAAATTTGTTTCCTTGACGGAGCAGTGATTGTGTCGGGTTTGTTAATGTTTCATTCGAAAGTGATACATTTGAGATTCACAGGATGAACTTGATTTTAGTGGATTAAATTGTCCTATTAATGGTTACTATTGATGCAACTGATTGGTGTTCATAGCAAAAATTTCATTAGAATGTTGGTTGGATGTGGGATTTTCTCTGTAAAGATTGTACTGTTGTAGGCAAAAATATTTGAAGGTTGTTGTCGGGACATTCATATTCAACTCAAAGGAAACTTGAAACTAATATCACCATTCCCATGTAGTTGAGTTTGAACAAATATAAGCTTCGTGCATTAGGTTCCTTGACCAATGCATATGTCATATAAGAGGTGGTGTAACTTGTGAGTTTGACAAGTTACTTTTATCTGTGAAAATGTTAGATTCCTATGAAACAACCTTCTTTTGGAATTTTTCTTTTTCGGGTTGGGAAACTAAACTAGCATGCCACTCAGTATGCTTGGAACCTAAGAGCTTTTATTATCTCTGTGTACAAACTGGTAGCTGTAATATATCAAACTTCTATTTGTATGAGATGTGTTATACGAAGAAGATTAGACATTTAGTATTTCCTTTCTCTCCCCTTTACTTTTAATTTTTCTTTTCCTGAATGTTCGGGTAAACTTACTAATTATTTAGCTACTCTGTATGTCAGCTAATAAGGATTCACTTGAGGAATTCACAACTCGGCTGGACGAGACAAAAAGTAATTGCTGCATTTCCTGCAAATGACTTCATAATTTTATTTTTATTTAAATGAACTGAGAGGCTTGCCAGATTTATTCAGTCTTTCTTTACATCAGTTGGGGAAGACCTGTGCCTAGATCCAATGTAGTTTTGTTGTGTGATGCTAAGTAGAATTTTCTGTGAAACTTCATGAAGTAGAAGGAATTTGGTGACTCATCTGATTTGGTTTGATTTAAGGGGACTGGAATGGCTCGGATATCTTACTGAGAAATCACAGGTCACAAGAATCAATAATAAGACCTTTGAAAACCTTGGTGACTGAACAGTCTGGACATATTCACATGCATAAGTTTCTGATTTTATTTGTTTTTACAAGAAAATGGATTGAGAAGTAAGTGCTTTGGGTCGAGAATGTGAATAAGTCTACCCGCCATAATTTTCCCATGTTTTTAAAGAGAGAAGGGAGCATCAGTTCATCAGAAAGGCTTATAGACTTGGGGTAGGAGCCCCTCTGTGACCTTGTTAAGGTGCATGCATCATGTTAAGTGTCTTTATATGTGATGTATACGCCCGCCTTTTGTTAACTTTCTTTTTATTTGTCATATGATCAAGTTAGTGCTTTCGTTCTCCTTTTCTCATGGCTCCCTTTGTCATTGTGTGTGTGGAGAAATTAGTTGATTGGTTTCTGTTCTAAGTATATTGACATTAATACAAGTGAATGCTAATTTGCAGGTTTTTCATCTATTGATTGGCTCTTCAAATGTTGGTAAAAATTTACATCCTTCATTTAATCTTGCTTTTTCTACTACATATATCATCACTGAACTGTCCTTATATTATACATTGTAAATATTTTTCCTCCTTTTCGGGGCTAAGTACTGATAATATATTTTGCCTCTAGTTGTAAGGCTTTTGATTTCCGTATAGCTATTTTATAGTTAGATTTTTTCTTGTTTATTTTGATATATTAATAATTAAACAAAACTTTTATTTTATCAAATGGCTATTTTCTTTTGTGTAATACATAGTTCTTGATGATTTAGGGATGGCAGGAATTGTCATGAATTGCATTAGTTAAGTGAATGAAAGGGAAAAAAAGAAAAAAAAAAAAGAAAAAAAGAAAAAAGATAATGGCATTAGAAAGAATAGAAAAAAGATAATTGCAGTTGGAAAGAAAAGAATCGGGTTTTTTCTAAAGTGATGTTTAGCTATTAGCCACTTTTGTAGGGTTCACGGTACAAGCCTTTATTAGTTTTGCTACTAACAATCTTAAGACCAGACTAGAAGTGAAAAAATCATATTGAAAACAGAGTTTGTAAATTATGAAGATTGTGGACCTGACCAATATTATGTAACAGTGATGGTGTAACTTTGGTTGGAATTAAATTGCTAAATTTATTGCTGACCTGGCAGGTTTCTTCCTTTACTTTGCTTTAACTCTTGTTGCTGCCTGCTACAAATGGCCGTGCTGGTCGTACTGTTGTGGTTTTATTGCTATGGGTATGACTCTGGTTTCCAATAGTGTCATATTAAGAGTTTAATGTAAGTATCTGAATTTTGCAAGTTTCTTTTGCAGCCATCCCCAGAATTCTATTGTTTGCAGCTTTTCTTCTACTTCTTTCATTCTGGTATGTCTTCTTAGTTTTTCTGAAAATTATGATCAGATAATGTTCATTTAAGGTAATGCAAGAGTGGAGTCTGTAATTTTCTTGGTATCATTTCTGCCATAAACAGTGTTAAAAGTTTAAGTTTCAGTTAAATTAGACTTTTATATCTTAATGTCTGATATGGATACATTGTACTGCAATGTTTCATTGATAACACTACTGCATTTTGCAAGTTTTCCTTTTTCCAGTAAATATTATCATTCTCATGAAAATTTCATGTTCTTCCTTAGGCCATACTCTCACTGTCTCTCTGGGATTTTTTCACAGGATCGACCTTTGCCATCAGGCAGATGAAGAAGAAGAAGAAGATGATGACGAATATGGTTTTCTGGAAGCTTTGTTGAAGAGGTCGTTACATAAACCCGGTTCATCAAGTGCAGATAGTCATAGAATATGTTTTCCTTTCCAGTCAATTCATGTGGGAAGCCGTCAAAAGATTGTGATTTTGGTATGACAATAATAATTTTTTTCTATTATTTTCTTTCTTCACCTAGTGTCCTTGGTTATTTTGGTCTGTTTCCTTTTGTCATAGCCATGTTGTGAACATATTGCATCACCTCATGTTCTGAAATCTCTTAACTCTGTACTTGTCCTCCAGGTTACTGTTCTAGTATTTCTTATAATGATTACATTTGCTGTGGTAATCTGGATTGGGATGGGAGATAATCCTATCAATTCATCAGTGGTGGCACAGGTATGGAGATTTGGATAATGGTTTTACCCTTTACCCACTTATGTTGTCACAAATTGCCCCTATATTGTCTTTGTTTACTATTTTCTTTAGGGTTAACATTCAACTTTTTTCTAGCCATTGCTACCATAGTGTTCTGATCATACTTGAAAGCATTTTATATTGTTACAGTGGAGTTACTGTTGTTTGATAGTTCAATAACTTTGTGGTGTGTATGAAACCTGCCACATGGAGCATGAATTTTGATGCATCTACAGCCATTCATATCTGCATGTATTTTTCATATCCACCTCTACACTTGCAATGAATGTGTGCATGATTTATTGATTTAATCTTTGCTTCCCCATTATGTTCTTTGATGGCAGGCACATAAGTGCAAGAGTATTTGTTGTTCTGAAATACAAAAAAAATTTCGATCAAGTTGAGATAAAATCATTAACATCTAAGAATTTGATACCTTGGACTACATGTCATGCATTTCTATGATGTTTCTATATTATATCTTCTTGAAACCAATTATTCATAGACGTCCAATTTTTGCTTGTGTTTTAGAAGATTGCAACTTGATGCATAGTAGACAAGAACTTGCATAGACCCTTTCTTTTGCATGGAGAGGAATAGAATTTTGGATAGCTAGCCATTGTGGTATTTGGTTTAGAAAGGTTATCTCTCTTCTCTTGGTGGAAATGTCTTTGAACATGAAACATCAAACTTCTTATAGTATTACATTGTCTTAGCTTTAGTTTGAAGACTTGATCTTTAGTTGCTCTTCAGTAAATGGTTGTCTTTATATCGTCACAGGCAGAGTGTTTGCCATCTTGTATTTTCTTTATAGTTTGCTTTGCGAGGCAGTTGTCTCTTAATGTAATTTTCATAAAAGTTGGCTGATTTTGCTTTTTCTTTGAGAGGGGGCTAGTATGTGAACTTGCAAAAAGTGAATAAAAATTGTATTGAATATTAAAAGCAGGTTCATTTTCGAACATGATTGAGATTTCTTTCTTTTCTTTTCTATTATTTCCTTTTTTTTTCTTTTCATATTTATAAGCCGTGATGCAATGATTGTAATCTTGTGCAGGTGTATGTAGCTCTTTTTACGATAGCAATGCTATTATTAGGAGGAGCATTAGCATGTTATGGTGAGCAACTACCATTTGATACAGTCTTATAATTGACAATGTTGTGTATACCATTCAATTCTTTTCTCCTCCATTGCTTTGATATTATTGGAGCCAAAATTTCCTTGAAATTGCCACCGAATTTGTGTAGATGAATCTATTTGTTTCAACAGATTTTATGCTGAAAGATTCCTATTGACTTGGTCAATGATAGTTTTTACTTTAAGTTCTTTCTTGTGATCATATTGATCACAACTTTATCCTTCGAGGTAAATTAATCATTTCCTTCGTTTTAATATCCATAGAATTAGGATTATGTGCATAAATTTCTGCCATCGTGAATCCAACTCCAACCTGTTATTAATAAATTCATGAGTGCCATTCATTGAACTTTGAACGCAAGATGTATGCATTACAGTATTACTTTTAACACTTGGGACTATAAATGGCACTTAGTTATATGAAACTTTTTGTTTGTTGGTTGAGATATGGTTGGATCGAAGAACTAGCCAAACTAGTTACTGTAACTTGATGTCTTGATAACTAGTTCTTGAAGTACCTTTTCGACAGAGATGGTAAAAGAGCTACTATTTGGTTTCTCTGGTTAAATTTCTGGAGTGGATTCCCTTTGTTATTTTTTTTTTGTGGGCTAATTAAACTATTTAATCAAGGTATCTTAGACTTATTGGATTTATGGATGGCCATCTTTATTTCAGCATTGCCCATTGCTTATTCCATGCCTTAGTAAGCTGTAACAATGAGGGATTCTTAGTAAGACCTACCTTTTTATAGTAGTGGAGTCCTGAGAGTTTGCTTCTTTTGTTGCTTTTAATTATTTTTCATGCCTTCTTGTATATATGAGTGCTCCCTCTCATTTTCTTATTTATTTTATTTAAAGCATCTTGTTAACCATATGAAGGATGATACATTTAAGTAAGTATAAAGATTAACATCAGGTTGGCAAACTGTGTGAAGTTCTGTTATTCCACTTAAAGTATCTTGAGGGATCTGCAAAGCGTTAGATGTTTTATTGACTAAGGCAGTGAATTAAGTCAATGTTAGCCTCCCCTTAAATTATTTGTGGAATTCACTAATAAAGGACCTCATGGTGGAATAAGATGCCTTAGTGAACCACTTTTACAGAGTATGGCAAATGTCAGAAGTTTTTTTCTTATCTATTTCCTTCTACAGGTGTGGCTATATTGATATAACCCTTTACAAGGTTTTTCTATTATCAGTTATTTTATTTTGTTTTTGAAAAATACATTATTCTGTGCTGTGTTTCATGTCCAGGACTCTTGTTATGCTTGAAAATGAGGACAGTTAGATCTGAGAGAGCTTCTTCTGAAATGTGGAAGGTACCACTGTAGCTTTAGTAGCATCATTCTTATAGTAATACTTAGAAAGCCTGTCGTTTAGCATGTTTCACTAATGTTTTTTATTTACAGCATTTGTCTCTGTATGTATCTATAGAGCGAGCTGTTTTATAGATCCAAGTTTATCTGTTTTAATTATTCCATGACGTGAAATGGTGTTGGTATGTGTCAGATTGCAGGATTGGCTGTTGTCTCTGTTTTATGTTTTACACCAAGTGCAATCATAGCCCTTTCAACTGGAATTCCGGTATGTATTTGTCACTTCACCATATCCTACATTTTCTTTTACATAGTTGTTATTGAGATTCTAAAGCAACCATAGGATCTTCATTGCAGGTCCTATATCATTGGCAAGAATTGCAAATAAATGGCGTTTATACTATTTCTTTACTGATCTTATATTATTTTGTAGGTAAGTAATACTACATTTCTCCAAGTTTTGAAATTAACTGCATATGATAAACTGGATATTTATGTTGACTGATTTACTAATATTGCAAATAACTCCAGATTGCAAGATTCTCAGTTTTATTAGAATTATGGTGATCCAGTGTTCTTATTCCATAGTAGACAAGGTATAATAGGGTCTGATCACCTAGGACAGCTTCACTACACATCCTTTCTGTTGGTACTGCCTTTGCAAGACAGTAATTAAACCAGGTGCTGTAAAATTTTTTTTGCATTTTATGGTTCTAGGTTCTTCAGTACCCTCGATATTTGTATTATGGGTCATGAGAGAGTTACCACCTGTAGTAGTAACTAACAGGCGGGATGAATCAAGAATGATAGCTTTCATCCATGATAGTTCAGCAGCAGCAATACATCAACCTGAGCGCTGGACAACTGCAGCAAGCACACAAAGCCAGGTTCACAACCCTTCTTTTCTCTTAGCTCTTCTACCTGTCCAATGTATATAGATGCAACTGTTTGTTTAATTTATCCGATCTCCTAAATGTTGCTCGTTTGATCTTAACTGGATAGTTGTCTTTAACATTAAAGTTGATGGTATCCTTAATAACCATGCTGTGTAGGCATAGCCAACTTGAACTTAGATACACTTTTCTGTTATCTGTAAGGCCGTCTTCTTTCTTGTTTAAGAGATAAGGTGTCAGAAAATTATAGATGAAGTATTTTATTTACAGTTTAATATTTCATTCAGATTATTACTTGTTTGAGTGTTATTTCAGTGAGTTATGTTTTAAGTTGCATATTTTGAGTAGATTTTCATTTGAAGACTTGATGGATTATTCATTAATGAATTTTTGTTTTCTCCCCCGAATTCTGTGTTTCCTACCCTTGTTGTTCTCAATTTTTTACCTTCCTATAATACAAGGGACCTTTAGTGACCTCAGAACTATAAATGCAGATATCGAGTGTGAGTCCTATATAAGTCATCTTTCCATACCAAAACGTCCTTGCTCTTCCTACAAGATATATGGCTTGAGCTGAATTGCTGAACGACTCTTGTCAGAAAAAGAGTTGGAATTGTACAATAAGTGAATTAAAAAATAAAGAAAGCTGGTTAATTCATACTTGACTGGTGACTCGGAGACATCTGTAAGTTTGTCGTTGCCATCTTTTTGATACCTTGCCATGTAAAATTGCTAAATGAGCTCAATCTTTCACTTTGGCCTTATGATGCTTATTTATTCCTCATCTGGGTGTAAAATGGTTTAATGCTGGAGTCAGTCGCAGCCCCCATAGTAATAAACGATGATCATAGATAACTTATACATTTTACCAAGTTATTGTTTTCACGACCAGCTTCCTCTGGAATAATTCACTCTGCAGTTTTCAGAAAGATCCATCTCAAGTGGGGGGATGCCCAGTAGCTAATTTGCCGAACTCTTTGGTGTGATATATATGAGCTTCGGTCACGTAACTGTTTCCATTATAGGTTGTATGTATTTTGGGAAAAGAGCATAACTTTATGTATACCATCAAATAAAGCAGAGCAAGTAACATAGATATCATTCCAGCTCTATGTTAATGAGTTAAACACTTTTGTCATATTTCATTCTTGGTTACCTTTGAATCGTTTCATTTTAATTTCTTCAATTTTAGTTTACCATTTTGTGATGAACAAGAGTAAAGCCACTGTCATTAAAGCAGTACTGAATTTGGAAGTTCAACAATGAACAATGAAATAATAATTGAATTGTTGAATTTGCTTTCAATTCAGATCCACAGATCTGTAAAACATCAACTTCTATGCAATTAATAATACTATTAAACCAAGAAAAATATCTTGACAGTTAACAACATTCACATATGCAGCATCTGAAGTTTCACCACTGTAATTCACTAAAATTTCTGCAGATCCCAATTCTGGATATACCCAGGTTGTGGGAGAGATAATTGATTTGTTTGTTTGATGAGATAAACCAGAATGTTATGACAGGCATTGCAGGTTGAACATGGGTTCTCCTCTCCTGAACTAGAGATGGCAATAGACCCAATATTTCCGGATACCCGACCTGTCTTGTCCTGAAAAGATCGGGCTTTACCTGATGTTTGTGAGCTTGGACCTGATTTTAAAGCCCGGCCTTGGGTACGGGCCGGGCCTGGGTATGTCTTCAAGCTTGGCTCGACCCGATAATTTTAGTATTAATTATACTAAATTACCCTTATACTATATATTTAATTACAAGATTATCCTACATATATATACTCATTTTTCCCAAATCCTATATGGATGGATGGATGGATACACTTTGTGGAAAGTTATTTATATATGTGGTGAGTATTCAAAAATAAATTAATATTTAAAATTTGTTTCAAGAATTAAAAATATAAAAAAAAATTTGAAATTTATTAATATTTAAAAATTTACATTATAAAAATAGGTGGGCTTGGGCCAGGTCTGAGGTTAGAAAAAGTCCGTCAGGCCGTGCTTGGGCTTTACCTATCATACCTGTGACAGGCCTGGGTTGGGTTTAGGTCTAGGCCAAGGGATACCCGGTCTGGGCCCGGCCCATTGCCATCACTATCCCGAACTAACAGTTATATTTCTCCATTAACCTAGCCAATATAACAGTTATGTATCGAAACAGAAGCAATGTTCAGCTAGCATTTTTTCTCTTCCCACAAACTACTGCTGAAGTTATGAAACTCTTGAGAACAATGCTTTATAGAGCAGCACAGTCATCAGCCAACAAGCAGGTACGATAAATAATCAAGGTCAGATCAAAGTACTCACAATCATGAGTACTTAGAAGGTGCACCTCACAAGAATGAATCAATTATTCTTCTCTTAATTGTTAAAAAAAAAAAAAAAGATATTAGAAGATTTTTCCCTTTCTAAAATTTGTTTCAGTACAAACTAAATAGATTTTCTCATAAACAAAATTCAAAGCCATATTTTAAGAAGTGATAAGTCCTAGAGGCCATGAGAATATAATATTTACCTTGGTCAATCAACCTGGCTGTCGACTAGGAGCAGCCTTTGGTCTTTTATGTATAGGAAATACAATCACTGATGACGCTAGTTATCGAAATATAATAATAAGTTCAAAAGCACTGTAAAAAAAACTCCACTATCCTTTGAAAGAATATTACAAATTTTTAGGTAATACCATAAATATCCAAACTATATGGGCACAGAATCACGTAATCCCACAAATACCCAAATTATATGGGCATTTACCAATTACTTAAAACAAAGGAAAATATTATACACATAAAAACCATAGTCAGTAAATACATGTACGAGAAAAAAAAGTACGGAAATTTTACGGATATGATATGAAAAATAGTGAAAAATACGTTTATAAAAATTAGGTCATAAAATTTCGATACGGAAAAAATATAGTACGGATATATACAGATTTAATACGATACATTATCAATAATACGTTTTAAAAAATACAGTCATATCAATCTTGATTTTAGCACTTTTTACCATCTTGTTAAAAATCAATATAATATTTCAAATGTAAAATATTTAATTAACTAATAATTATTAAACTTAATAATATAACATAAATACACCATATATAACTGCATTTATGCCATTGATTTCTCAATCTCCTCTCGTATTGGGCCATAAATTTGGTCAGATTACACTTTTGCAAGTGTTTTTAGGAGCCAGTCCACCTAAATTTAACTCATTAAATAATGTATTTCTTACAACTTTAAATACTATTATGAATATTAATCCAATCCATGTTTTCCCTTATATCAAAAGTTGCCACCCCCATATCACTTTCAATACTCATCAATTTTTGAAGCTAGCAGTAATGAGTAAATCTGTTGACTCTTTGCAATTGTGCGGTCTTATGTCAGAGTATATCTCACTCCAACCCTCAAGTTTGTTGACTAATTAATGACTGGCATCTGGGAATTCAAAAATAACGATGTCATTGTCCTTTCTTAAATAATATTTTAAAAAATTCGGTCGAATTATAAGCGAATTATTTGCTTGAGGTATAAAATTTGCTTATTATTCAGTTATATTGATAAAATACAAAAATTCACGTATAATATGTAAATTATACAACTAAACATATAATTTACGTTTTATATACAAATTTACGAAAGTACCCTTTAGAAGATAAATGTAATAAAGTAATTAGCGGGGCTTGGATTTCTTTATGTAGGCCCAAGCCCTTCTCCATTTTCAACCAATGTGGGATTGCTAATGAAGCCATATAATATTTAGTTAGACAAATTACAAATTAAGAATTACTACCCATTTCACAAAAATGCACAAACATGTAATTACATAACAAATTCAGCCCACCTCTTTATCTTGTCATGAAAGGGGATTAAAAAAAAAAAAAAATGGTTATCTCATAATTAGCAACAAAATGCATATACCATATTATAATTAATTAAACTTTAAGGTTTACATCAACGGCAAATTGAGCTATACCATCTCCGGCTAAAAATAGTGTGCCTATCGAATGGTAGAAGACTATTTGTGGCACAGTCCACAATTCCTAAGCTCTTGCAAACATCAAATTCAAACTTAACATTCTCAGTTTGTCCTTTAGTCACAAAAACTCTCTTGGAATCAGATCACTTTCCTTTATATGAGTCTTTGCAATGCCTTTGGGTGGTTGCGAATAAACCAAGATTACTTCACTACCATCCATGTGTACGTCCTGTATTTTGAACTCCCATTTCAAACCCAAATGTTTCATTACATGGAACGTCATGCGTTAGAACTGCAGGGCATTCGGGAGGGTGGCTGGGTGCCATTTTTGCGACAAAAGAGATTTTTTTTATATGAAATTTAATGCCGATCGACTTATTTCCTGATGCTAAGTTGCATTTGAACTGAGTGTAGCTGACACCGTATCCAATGGATACACTGTTGAGCTCTTGAAGAATTTATATGTTCGACCTGGATAGTCGCCAGTGGGTATGGGTGTCATTTGTAACTTGTTAATATTATCGTTTTCGTACCATGTAATTCTGCATAAAATATATAGTTGAGTTATTTATATTTTGTATACTAATTAGTAAGTCACTTGTTAATAAAGAAAATAAAAAATAAGTTAAATAGCAGAGAATTTTATTCCTTCCATGCAATAGTGCTAGATATATAGGGTCTGTTTCTTATACTTTTTATAGTTCGTTTGTTAATATTTAGATTGTTTTTAACTCGTCACATCTGTTAATTTAACTAAATATCCTTATAATAAAAGTTTAAAAATTAACTACAGAACCTCACACCCAAGAGGAGAGCGTGTTATGTGCTCTTTAATCATGTCAATGGCATACCCACTTGTGCCGCCCTAAGCTTTGAATCAAACATTAGAGGAGAATGGGACTCGTCACAGTATAACTATATCCAAATATCTTACATGAATATATCAATAACATAATAGATTATCTCTAAGTAGATGGTGGTTCGTTGGAACTCTTGGATGTATTACTCAAGAGGTATGAGTTCGAATTCTCAGACTATTAATAAGATAATTACTAGAAGCTTACATGACCCTTAACTTTAGGACCCGAGGAATGTCCTCTATCTTTACTTTGAATATGTTAATGTTATTCTCAAGTACATAGTTGCAGTTTGTGATTCAATTGAGGTACATGAAATAAACAAAATTCCTTAGTGACACAAATGAGGATGGTGTTGCCAGAACACTAAAAGCAGGTTAACTTCATTTATGTTCTTAATCATCAAAGTCTTTCTGAAGGGTGTGATTATATTAATGAAATTCAGGTTTAATATTGATTTAGGTTTGGATGGACTGTGGTGTTACCTACCCCAATGTCTAGTAATGCAAGAACCAAGGGAAGGTTAAGAGAGTGATATAGAAAGGTCTTTAAAGTACTATATGTTGTGTTAATGAGGTTAGGTTACTTCGACGGAAGCCCTTTATAGAAACCTCTTGGAAAGGAAATATTTGCACTCCTGAAAAATTGAACTAGCAGCTGAAGCAGCAAACAAGTAATTGTTCTTTTGAAAAACGATAATAAGCTCTACCATTGAACACTAATAACGTTAAAAACCTAGCAATTATTGGACCTCATGGCAATGCTACCACACCGATGATTGGAAATTACGCAGGTAAAAGTTCATCTAATTCTTTTTCTTTTAGATAAAAAAAAAAAAAAAAAAAAACTCCCATATGAAAAACACTTTATATCTATTATAGGAATAATTCA